GCTTGGGTGACAGAGCGAGACTTTGTCTCAAAAAAAAAAAAAAAAGTATAAATAAAGTTTTAAAAATTGGAACAGAAAATGGGATTCTTCGGAGGTCAAATATGACCCTAGGTAAATACTTCAGAGAATGAATTTTTCCTTTTAGGGACCAATTTGAAAATGAACATATTCCTCCACTGGGCTACAATAACGTCCTAAGATTGCAAGTGCAGAGATGCTCACTGGAAGGCACAAAGCAGCTTTCCTGAAAATAGTCTACAGCAATGTTTCTCAAAGTGTGTTCTGCAGATCCTGGGAGGAGGGGTCCACAAAGACAAAAGTATTTTAATCATAATTTGAAGGGTTTTTCACTGTGTTGATTTTTTTTTTTTTTTGAAACAGTCTCACTCTGTTGCCCAGGCTGCAATACAGTGGCATGATCTTGGCTCATTGCAACCTCCGCCTCCTGGGTTCAAGCGATTCTCTTGCCTCAGCCTCCTGAGTAGCTGGGACCACAGGTATGTGCCACCACACCTAGCTAATTTTTGTATTTTTAGTAGAGACAGGGTTTCACCATATTGGCCAGACTAGTCTCAAACTCCCAACCTCAGGTGATCCGCCCACCTTGGCCTCTCAAAATGCTGGGATTATAGGCATGAGCCACCCCGTCTGGCCCTGTGTTGACATTTGTACTTACGACACAAAGCAATGGTGGGTAAAACTGCTTGCAGCCCGAATCAAGGCAGTGTTACCACAATGTACTAGACATCTTCCCTCCTTCCTTCCTCCCTCCCTTTGTCCCTCCCTTCCTTCTTTCCTCCTTCCTTTCTCTCTCCCCTCCCTCCCTTCTTTCCTCCTTCCTTTCTCTCTCCTCTCTCCCCCCACCCCACCCCTTGCTCTCTCTCTCTCAACAAGGTCTTTTTGCCCAGGCTGGAGTGCAGTGGCACAATCATGGCTCACTGTAGCCTCAACCTCCTGGGCTCAAGTGATCCTGAGTGGCTGGGACTATAGGCACGAGCCACCACACCCCGCTAATTTGTTACTTTTTGTAGAGATGGGGTCTCACTATGTTGTCCAGGCTGGTCTTGACCTCCAGGGTTCAAGTGATCCTCCCACCTCGGTCTCCTGAGTAGCTAGAACCACAGGTGCACGCTACCATGCCTAATTTTATTTTATTTATTTTTATGTATTTATGAATTTATTTATTTATTTTGTAGAGATGGAGTCTCACTATGTTGACGAAGCTGGTCTTGAATTTCTGGGCTGAAGAGATCCTCTTGCCCTGGCCTCCCAAAGTGTTGGGACTATAGGTGTGAGCCACTGAACCCAACCACCAGGACATTCTTAAATAAAAACAATTGTTTGTTTGTTTTACCGTGAGTACATGGCAGTCAAGAATATAATAGACAAATTATGGTTATTCAGACTTTGGGATTTGGCAGAAATTTTCTCAAATATGAAATAAGTGAGTCTGTCACTTCAAGGAAACAGCTGACAATATTTGTTGCCAATGTTAAAATTCAAGCTGTCAAGTGAAAACAAGTTGAAAACTTGTTTCCATTACCTTGAGTTTGATAGTTTCCTAATTACTTAAACTCCTTTTTAGGTGGTGATATTAACAAATGTGATTTTTTAAAATACTGTATAATGGCACCTGAAAGGTCAACCTTTAGATTTGCATAACTCACTGAACCAACATTTTCTAAACAACAAATGGCTGATGTTATAAAACCATATATGGGTAAAACAGTCAATGAAAGGGCAAGATAGACCACTGGATTTTAATGTAACATAGTATAAAAGTTCACCTATAAGGCTTCAGATGACACACTGTGACTAACCTTTAAGAAACTGCCACTTGTGGCCTGGCACGATGGCTCATGCCTGTAATCCCAGCACTTTGGGAGGCCAAGGCAGGCAGATCACCCACCTTGGGAGTTCAAGACCAGTCTGACCAACACAGAGAAACCCCATCTCTACTAAAAGTACAAAATTAGCTGAGTGTGGAGGCACATGCCTGTAATCCCAGCTACTCGGGAGGCTGAGGCAGGAGAATCCCTTGAACCTGGAAGGTGGAGGTTGCGGTGAGCTGAGATCATGCCATTGCACTCCAGTCTGGGCAACAACAGCGAAACTCTGTCTCAGAAAAAAACAAAAACAAAAAACTGCACCTTGTAGGCCGGGCATGGCGGCTCAGGTCTGTAATGCCAGCACCTTGGGAAGTGGAGGCAGGCTGATCGCCTGAGGTCAGGAGTTTGAGACCAGCCTGGCCAACATGGGGAAACCCCATCTCTACTAAAAATAAAAAAAAAGTAGCTGGGCGTGGTGGTTCATACCTGTAACCCTAGCTACTCAGGAGGCTGAGGCAGGAGAATCGCTTGAACCCAGCAGGCAGAGGTTGGTTGCAGTGAGCTGAGATCATGCTACTGCACTCCAGCCTGGACGACAGTGAGACTTTTTCTCAAAAAAAAAAAAAGAAAAGAAACTGTCATTTGCTAACTTTTGTATAGTATCAAAGAAGAGTGTCTACAGTTATCTGAAAAGACAATTAAAACATTTCTCTGTGTTCCAATTATATATTTGATGAGGCCAAATTTTCTTCATATACACCAGCCAAAACAGCATAACAAAACATTTTGAATCCTGAAGCAGAAATGAGAGTACTTTTTTCTATTTCTATTGAATCAACTTGAGAAAATGTAAAATAATGCTACTCTTCCTATTAACTTTTTTGAGGCAAATGTAACTGTTTTCCATTAAAAATATTATTTATGTTCAGAAGTAACAGGTTTATTGTTGTTGGAGTTTTTTTGAGACAGGGTCTAGCTATGTTGCCAGGCTGGTTTTGAACTTCTGAGCTCAAGCAAGCAATCCGCCCACCTCAGCCTCCCAAAGTGCTGGGATCACAGGTGTGAGGCACTGCAAGGGGCCAATTAGAGACAGGGTCTAGCTATGTTGCCCAGGCTGGTCTTGAACTCCTGAGCTCAAGCAATCCATCCTCCTCAGCCTCCCAAAGTGCTGGGATCACAGGTGTGAGGCACTGCACGTAGCCAATTATTATTATGAGCCACTGCACCTGGCCAATTATTATTATTGCTATTATTATTGGGGTTTTTTTGAGACAGATTGCTCTGTTGCCCAGGCTGGAGTGCAACGGTGCAATCTCGGCTTCAAACGATTCTCCTGCCTCAGCCTTCCAACTAGCTGGGATTATAGACACACATCACCACGACAGCTAATTTTTAGCAGAGACAGGGTTTCACCATGTTGGCCAGGCTGGTCTCAAACTCCTGACCTCAAGTGATCCACCCGCCTCGGCCTCCCAGAGTGCTAGAATTACAGGCATGAGTCTGTGCCTGGACCAATTTTTATTATTTTAAAAGGAACTAATTAATGGACATTTTACATTTTCTCAGTTTAAATCTCTGATATCATAAATATACATAAATATCATAAATATATACAAACAAAGCTCTTTGAGGTAAGAATATACAGGGGTCCCAAGGCTTAAAAGGTTTGAGAACTGATGTCCTATAGCAACATTACATTGACCTTTCCAGAGGGCAAAATGGTAATGCACAGTACAAAGGGCAAAGATGTATTTTAAGCATATGCCAGAATGTTCAATTGAAAACATTTTTTCCACACTACATTCAGTGAATATAAAAAGAAGGTAGATTCCCCAGGAACAAATTCCCGAGAAGTGAGGGACAGTACTGTAATTAGAGAAATGATCTGGATTCTAGCCCAGACCCTACCAGTCTCTCCAGACTTTGGTCTTCCCATCTGCAAAGTGAGATATCAGAATAGCCTATTTTCCATTTGCTTTCAATTATCAATACCATGACTCTAACCAGGGATCCCTAAGTAGGGACCCATAAGCTGTCTCTGGCCTTCAGACTGATTGGCCATCCCTGTTTCTGAGAAGTACCCCATGAGGACAATCAGCTGGTGCTTGGTGAGCAGCTTTCCTTTCAGGTGAGAACTTGATTTTCAGTTACGGTCTCAGTCCAGCTCGCTAGACTCTCCTCTGCAGATACCTGCATTTACAACCTCTGGAATAAAAGGCCCCTCAAAATCGGTCCAAATCTCAAACTCTATAATTCAGCTCCAGAGACAGAGTGTCTGGGTTTCTCACCCACTCTGCTACATGCTGGCTGTTTGACTTTGGGCAAGTTCCTTAACACCTCTGAGCCTCAGTTTCATCATCTGTAAAATGGAACAATGCTGACCTCAAAAGGCTGGTATGAAGCTTAGCGAGGTGTTGCCTAAGAGTACTTACAGAGTTCTTGGTACTGGACAGCACTTTGTTAAAGGGGGCTATTATTATTAACGCCAAGGCACAGAAAGGGATTTTTCCTAAACGCCCTTCACATCCCATACCAATTCCCTTTCCCAGCACCTGACGATTGCACTCCCACAATCAAGCTTACCTTCATATCAACTCCCAAATCCCACAGCCACATCCCAACATTCACAAGACCCTCCTCAGACCTCTACTTCTCCTTCCCCACCCTACATCTCTTCACTGAGCTTCTGGCCAGTACCGGTTTCCTTCACGACCACAGCCGGGCAGAATGGTCACAGCACTGACCACTCCCCCAGCCTCTCCTCCGCGCTCCGGACCACTAAGCCTCCCTATCCCTCATTTCGGAGACCCCCTTGGGTCAGGAAGTGGTGGTCCAGGGGTTTATAGCCTAGGATTCTGCCCAAGGCGCGCTCGGGAGGGATGGGAGAATAACAGCCCGACCTCCCGGAGGGGCCCGCGGACACTCACCGTCCATCCCCAGAGGCGGCGGTTCCGGGTGCTCGAACCGGAAGCGGCCTCTACACTGTTTGCAGTTCCCCTGGTTACTGCAGGGCCCCGGACCAATGACGGTAGAGCTCCAATTACTGAGCCCGCCCCCGGGGAGTGACGTCATGCCGGCGCACTGGAACTCCTCCTCCGAACCCCCGTCTGACCCACCCCGGGCCCCCTGGATCGTTGTGCGCAGGCGCGCTGGACCAAGGTCCTTGGAGGTGCGTTGCGCATGCGCCCCGGGCGCCGCCGACTGAAGTAGCAATGGACGCGTTGGAGTCGTTGTTGGACGAAGTGGCTCTGGAGGGGCTCGATGGCCTGTGTCTGCCAGCGCTGTGGAGCCGTCTGGAGACGCGAGTGCCGCCCTTCCCGCTGCCTCTGGAGCCCTGCACGCAGGAGTTTCTCTGGCGCGCCCTCGCCACGCACCCGGGCATCAGCTTTTATGAGGAGCCTCGGGAGCGACCCGACCTACAGCTCCAGGACCGGTCAGCGGGCGGCCTGGCCTGGCGGGCGGGCGGGCGGGCGTAGGGCCCGGGGGCTGATGGAGCTGGGGGCGGGGCGGGAGAATGGAGTGGGGCCGTGTAAGTACCGTAGGCCTGCTGATTGAGTTGGGGCGCGGCGGTTAGGCTAATTTGGGGTCCCTCAGGCCTGGCAGGGCCCTGGAGTCTGATGGAGTTGGCGCGGGGAGGGGGGGAATCTAGTGATGTACCGTTTTGTCCCTGTGTGTGTTTTGGTGTAATGGCGAACAGGATTGGGGATATTCTTCAGGCTTAAAAGAATGTTTCCTTGATATTGGAGGGTAGGATTAGAGTAGGAAGACTACTTTAGAGCCAGACTGGAGACTCTGGAGATCAACGGACGCTCATGGAGTATTCATTAAGTGCAGATAGAGCGCCTGGGGCAACTCGAGATCTGCATATCAGCACAATTAGCGATAATGCTAAAAGCTGGCATTTATCAGGGACTTTATGGGTGAGGTGCTGTTCTTTTTTTTTTTTTTTTTTTTTTTTTTTTGAGATAGAGTCTCACTCTGTGGCCCAGGCTAGAGTGCAGTGGCGCGATCTCGGCTCACTGCAACCTCCGTCCGCCTCCCAGGTTCAAGCGATTCTTGTGCCTCAGCCTCCTAACTGGGATTACAGCGTGTTCCACCACGCCCGGCTAATTTTTGCATTTTTAGTAGAGATGGAGTTTCACCATGTTGGCCAGGCTGGTCGCGAACTCCTGATCTCAGACCAGCGGCCCGCCTTGGCCACCCAAAGTGCTGTGATTACAGGCCTGAGCCACCGCGCCCGGCCACAGTGCTGTTCTAAGAACCTGTTCTAGAAGCTTAGGAGCTTAAACTCACTTGATCCTCACTTGATTAAACTCCTTTAAACAGGAGATTAAATCCACTTGATTGTCACCTATGAGGTGAGTGCTGTTATCTTCCTCATTTTACAGGGAAGAAACTGAGTCACAGAGAGGGGTTACATAATCTGTCTAAGGTTCTGGGGGCAATAAGTGACTAAGAATTGATTTGAACCCAGGCTGTTTCCAGCGGCTGTACTCTTAAGCCATATTGTGAGGGTCAGGGGAGGTTCCAAGAGGTAATAATGTCCAAGATGGGCGGGGCTCATGCCTGTAATCCCAGTACTTTGGGAGGCTGAGGTGGGTGGATCACAAGGTCAGGAGTTCAAGACCCGCCTGACCAACATGGTGAAACCCCATCTCTACTAAAAATACAAAAATTAGCCTGGCATGGTGGCGCATGCCTGTAATCCTTGCTACTCAGGAGGCTGGGGCAGAAGAATCACTTGAACCTGGGAGGCAGAGGTTGCAGTGAGCTGAGATTGCGCCATTGTACTCCAGCCTGGGTGACAGAGTGAGACTCCGTCTCCAAAATAAAATAAAATAACGTCCAAGACAAAACAGCCAGTTGGCAAAGAGGACTGTTGGACAGAGAACAACAAATGTGAAGTAAGTGGCTGCAGTGTGGAATTGGAGGTAGGGAATGAGGAATAGCTAGGACTGTGCTAAGATCCTTAACACAACATGTTATGTAATGTTTACAGCAACCTTAGGAGATGGGTAATATTCTCCCCATTTTCCTGAAGAGAAAATCGAGGCCCTGAGGGGTCAAATGGCATGCTAAAGGTCAACTAGCAAGGGAAGAACCCAGACTTTGAGGAAGGTCTGAGTTCAGAATGTACTCTGCCCTTAGCCAAATTGGACTGGAATCAAGTCTTTTAACCTACTTAAAGAGTTTATCAGCTTGTAATCCCAGCACTTTGAGAGACAGAGGTGGGCGGATCACTTGAGGTCAGGAGTTCAAGACCAGTCCGACTAACATGGTGAAACCCTGTGTCTACTAAAAATACAAAAATTAGCCGGGCATGGTGGTGGGCGCCTGTAATCCCAGCTAGGCTGAGGCTGCAGTGAGCCAAGATTGTGCCACCGCACTCCAGCCTGGGTGACAGAGGGAGAATCCATCTCAAAAAAAAAAAAAAGTTTATCCTTTATCAAAAGGATAGTGAGAAGTCACTGAAGAGAGGGTCAGACTAGGACCAAAGAGTGAAGTTGAGAGATTTTTAGTTATCTAGTCATGGTCTGGCTTACCATGGTGGGTGTGGGGATGAAGAGCACAGGCAGTCAAGACATAGCAGGCCAAAGAATCAAGAGGCTTTGGAGACTGATTGGATGTGAAGTGTAAGGAAGGTAGGAATCAAGGGTGATGCCCTCTGGTGGCTGCTGTTTGGGCAACTGAGCAAACCCTGATTCTCATCTCTGAGGCTGGGAACATGAAAGAACAGTGTGGGGGTTGAGTCTGGGGGAGGTGGGGACTTTGCTGAAGGGACATGTGACACATTGAGCTTTAGGTTCTTTTGAGTTGTCCAAGTGAAGAGTCTTAATTAGTAAACATCTGGCTTCGTGGGAGTGAAAGCAGGCCAGAGGGAGGGACTGAGGTAGGCATCTGTGAGTCATTCTGTGCAGCTGGTAATTAAAGTGGCTGGCCAAGATCAGCCCTAAGAGAGAGTGTCGTGTGGTTGGAGGTCTTGAGACATAGCCCTGCAGTGCACCTACATTTCAAGGCTGGATGGAGGGTGAGGGACTTTCAAAAGAAGATTGAGGCGGTGTGGCTGGAGAGGCAGAGGACAGTCAGGTCAGAGTGTTGTTCTGGAAGTTTGGGAGGAGACAGGATAATTTAAGAACGAGGGTTGGGCTGGGTGTGGTGCCTCTCTACTAAAAATACAAAAATACAAAAATTAGCTGGGCGTGGTGGCAGGCGCCTGTAATCCCAGCTACTAGGGAGGCTGAGGCAGAAGAATCGCTTAAACCCAGGAGGCGGAGGTTGCAGTGAGCCGAGATTGTGCCACTGCACTCCAGCCTGGGCGACGAGATCAAAACTCAGTCTCTAAAAAAAGAGAATAGAGGGTTAAATAGTACAGAGAACACAGAGGGGACAAGGAAGGAAAGGGCTGAAACATGTACATGGGATTTAGCTGCAATTAGACTAGTATAGGATGTGAGTGAGATTTCAAAAGAAAAAACTTGACAAGCAGCCAGGCAAGGTGGCTCACACCTGGAATCCCAGCACTTTGTGAGGCTGAGGTGGGCAGATTACTTGAGCCCGGTAGTTGGAGACCAATCTGGGCAACATAGTGAGGATAAAAAAATTATATATATATGTATGTATGTATTTTTTTTTTTTTTTTTAAAAAAAGAAAACTTGACAAGCTTAGCTAACTGCATGAAAGAAGCACAAATGAAAAACGGCCCCATGGTGTTGTAAGAGGCACCTAGGAGAAAGCGGTGGCAAGAGGGGAAAGAAGGGACTTAATTGGAGCTGGAGAGAGGCAATCATATTTGGAATAGGAGGTGTTTAATAGACAATCGAAGACATTGGATCTGTATTTGGAGAAAAAGGACTGAGGATTCAAAAGTGAGACTTGTTGACATGCAGACAGTAATACAAACCATGAAAATGGATTAGGATATTAGAGAGATAACTAAAGAGAGATGGAAAGATGAGATCTTAAAGGGAGGAAAGCTTTGGCCGCTTGTGGTGGCTCCCACCTGTAATCCCAGCACTTTGGGAAGCTGAGGCGGGCAGATCACCTGAAGTCAGGAGTTCGAGACCAGCCTGACCAACGTGGTGAAACCTCATCTCTACCAAAAATACAGAATTAGCCGGGCATGGTGGCGCACTACTGTAATCCCAGCTCCTTGGGAGGCTGAGACCGGAGAATCACTTGAACCCGGGAGGTGGAGGTTGCAGTGCGCTGAGATCACGCCATTGGACTCTAGCCTGGGCAACAGGAACAAAGCTCCATCTCAAAAAAGAGGAGGAAAGCCTTAAATAATTTCATCCAATTTGGTGGTTTGGAGACTGAGCACTAGATTTGGAAGGAAACAAAAGCCCATAACTTGGCCAATAAGGAGGTTTAGGTCCCAGCACCCAGCTTCTGGAATAGTCTGGGGAGTCCTGGAAAGGTCTGCGTTCTGTGGGATAGAAAGGCAGGAACCTGCTTGTCAAGATTATCTGCATTTATAAGGCAGGAAAACTGAGTGATCTCACTTCTCTCTGATCTCTGCTGGAGGTTGTCAAAAGAACACAGCCAAGCACGTATTTCTGAAGCTGAATTGTGCTTTGATATTTGTGCTTTTCTCCTTAGGTATGAAGAAATTGATTTGGAAACTGGAATTTTGGAGTCTAGGAGGGACCCGGTGGCCTTGGAGGACGTCTACCCCATTCATATGATCTTAGAGAATAAGGATGGCATCCAGGGCTCATGCCGCTACTTTAAGGAGAGGAAAAACATTACCAATGACATCAGAACCAAGTCCTTGCAGCCTCGCTGTACGATGGTAGAAGCCTTTGACAGGTAACTATTTTGCACCATCAGAAATTCCTGGGAATCTGGCTGGGGTGCCGTGGCTCACGCCTGTAATTCCAGCACTTTAAGAGGCCGAGGCAGGTGGATCACTTGAGGCTAAGAGTTCAAGACCAGCCTGGCCAACATGGCAAAACGCTGTTTCTATTAAAAATACAAAAATTAGCTGGGTGTGGTAGCACATGCCTATAATCCCAACTACTGTAGTGGCTGAGGCATGAGAATCGCTTGAACCCAGGAGGCGGAGGCAGGCTGCAGTGAGCCGAGGTCATGCCACTGCACTTCAGCCTAGGCAACAGAGTCAGACCCTGTCTACAAAAAAAAAAAAAAGGAAAAAAAGAAATTTCTAGGAATCTGAGTGCTTTGAATGTGTAGTCAGAGCACTTGGATCTGGCCTACAACCTTGGAGTCTGTCAGAGTTCACTAGCCCTGCCCTAAGCCAGTTCTTGGCCTTCACTTGCCTTCTTCACTGGGGTCAGGGGTCCTGCCTTTCTCTTTCCTTTGTGCTCACAGTCCTCGAACACTTGAATGGTGCCCTTTCTCTCTTCCTAGCTGGGCCCTGTGCTGCCCAGCCGTTCTCTTGTGCATCCTCAGTCAGTATCCCAATTCCCCAGAGTGTCTAATCCAGATGATCATTTTTCAAGCACCTAACCCCATTGCTGCCTTCCTTCTTACTTCACAAGGCAATGTGAACTCTGCTAACTTCCACGTTCTTCCTTGACTTGCAGACTTTTCCACATTTCTTCCCTGTCTACTCTCATCTTGGAGGAGGTGAGAAATGGTGGCCCTGTCTAAGGCTGTGATCTGGATGCTTCTCTTCCTCCTTCTCCCCCTAGCCCAGCTCCCTCTACCCCTCTCTTTCCCACCTTTCAGTTAGCTCATCTTTCTCCTTGATTTTCTTTTTTCTATTTCTTTTCTTTTTTTTTTTTTTTTTGAGACAGAATCTCACTCTGTTGCCCAGGCTGGAGTGCAGTGGTGTGATCACAGCTCATTGCAGCGTTGCCCTCCTGGGATCAGGTGATCTTCCCACCTCCCCACTGAGTAGTTAGGACCACAGGCGCATACCACCACAACCAGCTAAGTTTTATTTTTTGTGGAGATGGGGTCTTGCCGTGTTGCTCAGGCTGATCTCAAACTTCTGGGCTCAAGCAATCCTCCCACCCCAGCCTCCTAAATTGCTGGGTTTACAAGTGTGAGCCACTGCCCCGTCTGTCCTTGATTTCTACTGAAGTTTTCCCTTCAGCACATGAACAGTTTACCCATCTAACAAAATAACCTTCTCTTGACCTCAACTCCCTTGTAACTGGTTGTCTCTTTGACTCTGCAGCCATGCTTCTTTGATGAATCAGCCCCATTCACTGTTTCTCCCTCTTCACCTCCCCTTCACTCCTTTGCCCACTGCAGTCCTGATTCCTGACTATCACTTCACGATTTTATCCTCTAAGATCCCAGTTAATAAGCCATGAACACTGTTAGGCCCCTAATGTCCTTGACCCTGCTACACTATTAAGGACTCAAAGCTTTTGTGCCAGTGTCTTCCTGCCTTAATTTGTTTTTCTACTTTCCTTGCCATTCCTCACCAGCTTATTTGTGGATTCACCTACTTCCACCACTTAACTGTTGGCTGGTGGGCTGAGCAGTAATCCAAGCACTTTGGGAGGCCAAGGCAGGAGAATTTTTTGAGGCGAGGAGTTAAAGACTAGCCTGGGCAATATAGCAAGACCCCATTGCTACAAAAAATTAAAAAACAAAAAACTAGCTGGGCATGGTGGCACACTCTGTAGTCCCAGCTACTTGGGAGACTGAGATGGGGGGATTGCTTGAGCCCAGGAGTTTGAGGCTTCAGTGAGTTATGATTGCACTACCACACTCCAGCCTGGACAATGGAGCGTGACCCTATCTTTATTTATTTCTTTCTTTTTGAGACAGAGTCTTACTCTGTCACCTAGGCTAGAGTGCAATGGCACGATCTCGGCTTACTGCAACCTCCACCTCTCAGGTTCAAGTGATTCTCCTGCCTCAGTCTCTCGAGTAGCTGGGATTACAGGTGCATGCTACCACGCCCGGCTTATTTTTGTGTATTTAGTGGAGACATGGTTTCACCATCTTGGCTAGGCTGGTCTCGAACACCTGACCTCAGGTGATCTACCCGCCTTGGCCTCCCAAAGTGCTGGGATTACAGGCGTGAGCCACCACGCCTGGCTGACCCTATCTCTTTAAAAACAACAACAACAACAAAAAACCACATTGACTGCTTCTAAAGGTTCTCTGTCTAGTCCCAGACCTCTCCCAAGCAGCATATGTGTTATTCCAATAACCTGCTGTGCATACTCAGTGTGATCATCACTCTGCTTCACCCCAAACCTGCCTTATCTTCCCGTCTTAGTGTGTTGTGTGTTGCTGGAAGAGAATACCTGAGGCTGGATAATTTACAAAGAAAAGAGGCTTGTTTAGCTCACAATGCTGCAGGCTGGGATGCTCAAGGGCATGGCACTGGCTTCTGGCAAGACTTTCGTGCTGCCTCATAACATGGTGGAAGGTCCAAGGGACAGTGAACATGTGCAGAGGGGCAAAACCCAGAGGGCATCCTTGCTTTACATCAACCCACTCTCACTGGAGCTAATCCATTCCCAAGAGAAGAACTCATTCTCTTCTCCAGGTGGCATTAATCTGTTTATGAGTGATCCACCCCAATGATCCAAACACCTTCTACTAGGCCTCACCTCCCAGTGCTGCTGTGCTGGTGATTAAACTTTTTTTTTTCCTTCTTGAGATGGAGTTTTGCTCTTGTCACCCAGGCTGGAGTCCAATGGCGTGATCTCGGCTCACTGCAACTTCCGCCTCCCAGGTTAAAGCGATTCTCCTGCCTCAGCCTCCCAAGTAGCTGGGTTTATAGGCACCTGCCACCATGCCCAGCTAATTTTTGTATTTTTAGTAGAGACGGGGTTTCACCGTGTTGGCCAGACTGGTCTTGAACTCCTGGCCTCAGGTGATCCGCCCACCTTGGCCTCCCAAAGTGCTGGGATTACAGGTGTGAGCCACCGCGCCCGACTTCTTGGTAGTTATACTTCAACATGAGTTTTGATATGGACAAGCCTCATCCAAACCATAGCACTGCCTTTTCTCATTCTTTATTCTGGTCAGATGTACTCCCATGCATGCGGGTGTACAAGCCATAAACGTGGGACTCTCCTAGGCCCCAGTGTGATGGGATGTACCCTGACCACACTAGGCAGAGGTTTCAAACTGACCAAATCTGCCCACAGATGAGCTTTGTGTGCCCAGCATGGTATTCAATTCGGTTTTTAATTTCATTTCATTGCTAATATTTAAAAACCTGGATTTCTAGCTTTTCTTGAAAAATCACAAGGTCTAGCTGCACTGAGACCAATTTTTTACAGGGAGTTATAGGCCAGAGTTCCCCTCAGCTGGCCGTGTACTGCCTGGTTCCATACACCATGATGTTGTGTTCGTGTTGTGTTCGTGTGTGCTCCCTGCCCTCCTGATCAGGTCCCAACAGGCTCTATGTGATTGTGCCCCTGCCCACACAATTCTCCAACCTCAGTTTCTTCACTCTGCACTGCACTTCAGCCTCAACATGCTGGACTCTTTCTGTCTCAAGGCAATCCTTGTGCTGTTCCTTCTGCCCAGAATATTCTGCCCACAAATCTTCACATCGCCACATCATTCAGGCTTCAACCTGACTCCTCTGGAAGTGTCCCCCATTGCCCAGACAGCATCATAGTACTCTTTATGGCACCAAAAATGGTTTTTAAGTGTTTGTTTATGTCACTATTTCCTCACTAGACTATACATTGCTCGAAGGCAGGGACTCCATCCTTCTTGTTCACTGCTCTGTCTCTTAGTTCTATAATATGCCGGCACAAAGCCGGCTTCTAGAAATACACGTTTGAAGTTGTAACCCCTGACCCATGTTATAGAATCTGAACTCCCCAGCACGGCATCAGAGGGCCATTGGGGATGTAGACGCTGCTGGCCTCGAGCTTTCCTTTTGCTTTTTGCTGGGTATCACACTCCAGACTTTGTAGCCATGCTGTACCTCTTACCTCCAGGAGCAGGTGTGCTTCTTCGTGCCTCTATAACCATGCAGCTTCTGTGTCCTTCCTCTTCTCTCTCTCATCCACCCAGCTCACTGCTAATACAAGAGTCACCTCCTTGCCTGGTGTGCTGGCTCACACCTGTAATCCCAGCACTTTAGGAGGCTGAAGGGGGTGGATCACTTGAGGCCAGGAGTTCGAGACCAGCCTGGCCAACATGGCAAAACCCCATATAGGCAAGTGCCTATAATCCCAGCTACTAAGGAGGCTGAGGCAGGAGAATCACTTTAGCTCTGGAGGCAGAGGTTGCGGCGAGCCGAGATAGCGCCACTGCACTCCAGCCTGGGCGATAGAGGAAACTCTGTCTCAAAAAAAAAAAAAAGTCATCCCCTTAAGGGGTTTTCCCTAATCCCTGTGCACACACTCTTGTTTATACACGCATATTTGAATTAGGGCTCCTCATCTATGCCATCGACAACTAGAGCCTCTTTCTGTCAGAGAAGTTATGGCCTCATACTAGAATTGTTCATTTTACGTTTTTTTCTCCTTCAGTAGCCTGTGAGCTCCTTGAAGGTAGAAACTATTTTAATTTGTCTTGGTATACTGGTGTACTTTGCATGGTACTTCATTGGCATTTGATAACCTGTAAGATGACCATAGTCAGCGAATTAAAACTAGCAGGAGTCATCGAATCAGCTAATTGGCAGTAATTAACAGAAACATAGGGATCATGACAGTGAAGGATAGTAAACTAGTCAGAGTAATGATGTTTTAAAAGCAGCAAACCAGTGCCCCTGTTTTCAAACGTTTTTTCCCCCAACTGACCTCTTACAATTTAACTTAATGAGCCTGTTTTGAGAACAAAAGAGCATAGGTCCTAAGTTCGTGAAATTCAGATACATAAAGTGAACTCTCTGTCATGTATATTCACAACCTAACATTCTTTTTGAAGATGGACTATATGGGCTTCTGTGACTTAGGCAAAATGCTGATTTCAGGTCTCAAACAATGTGAAGAAAGATGCAGTTAAGTTAAAACAGCCTCTTTTTTCCTTTGTACCTACTTAGTTGTAGAAGTAAAGTCATCTGATGTGGGGAAGAAGGAAGGAAAACTGTCAGACTGAGTTACTGAGTGGGGGGTGCTGCAGAAGGACCTTGTGACCAGGTATCTGTAAATCCTGGGGCTGAAAAGAGTGGATGTTGGCTCCCAATAAATGGGATTGGTAGCCTGTGAGCTTTTCTACTTGGACCCTTGGTGACTCCTTCATCTGGGAAAGGGGGATCCTCTACCTTAGGCCATTTCCTGCTGATATAGCAGAATACCACAAACTGGTTAATTTATAAAGAACAGTAGTTTGTTTGGTTCATGGTTCAAGGGGCTGTAAAGTCCAAGAGCATGGCACCAGCATCTGGCAAGGACGTCCCACTCCTGAGATAACTAACCCACTCCCACGATAAATGCATTAATGTATTCATGAGGGCAGAGCAGAACTCTCATGGCCTAATCACCTCTTAAAGGTTCTTCCTCTTACTACTGTTACAATGGAAATTAAGTTTCTAACACATGAACTTTCAGAGGACACATTCAAACTTGAGTCTTCTCCAGTTGAGTAACTTGATGCCAAGGAGCGAATGAGGGATGGGTTCTCCGGCAGGACATCCTTGTGGGATCTCCCAGCTGCAGGGCCAGGGCTTGGACTCTGAGAATGGGTGAATGGAGCAGGTTAATTTGCTCAAGATGTTAGATTGAGCAGGCCAGGCACTGTGGTGGAGTCTCCATCATCAGTGATGGGGAATGCACAGTAAGGACTGTTAGATGTCAGCATAGAAATGAGTCTTCTCACTTGGGCTGTCCTCACATGCCTTGCTCGAAAGTGGTTTTGGCCTCTTGGTGCATTCTTTCTCACATGTCAATTTGGTAGAAGGAACGAATGATTTGTGCAAGGTCTGGCCTTCAACAGTGAAGTCAAAATGAGACTGCAGGTCCACTGATTGCACCGTTCAGGGCTTTTGACTCTGAAGATTATTTTATCAGTCCAGCTCACTAGCCTAGTTCATTTACTTAACAAATACACACAGAGCCCCTATTATCACCCAAATTCATTATTCTAGGCACTACGGATGTCCTGCTGAACAGGTTGACAATGTGCCTGCTCTTATATTTGAATGAGGGAAACTGATAAGAAAGTTGGCACAAAAAAAAATATATATATATATAGTCATTTCTGAGAGCGCTAAGTGCTATGAAGAATATGGAAATTGTGGGGGTGGGGCTGGAACTCTAGTTGGCATTTTCTGGAAAGGCTGAGGAGTTGACAACTGAGCTGTGACCTGAATGATAAGAAGAAATCAGTCACCTGAAGACCTGGAGGAGAAGCAGCTAGGCCGAGGAAACAGCAAGGGCAGCACCCCTGAGGCTTGTCTTAGGAATAGGAAGCCTCCTGTGAGTGAGGGGCAGAGCCGTGGAGGATGAGATGAGCAAGGCAGGGAGGGCTGGGCTTTGGAGAGCTTTCCAGGAGGACCAGGAGGAGGAGTTGGATTTGGCCTGAGCACTTTGGCAAGCCCTGAAGGACTTTCAGCGAGGAAATAAGATTGGCCGTGTTCCTTCAGCACACTATACTCCTTTTTGTCTTTTTTAGCACACTACACTTCTAAGACTGAAAACTTGCTTAGCTTAATTTTGGGATCTTGTGAACTCCTAGGAAGAAGCAGAAAGTAAGGATTCTATACATTTCTTTTTCATATCTCTGTTTACCTAAAATCAGTTAAACTTATTTCTTCATGCGATTGTTTCTGATTTGCAGGTGGGGGAAGAAACTGATCATCGTTGCCTCCCAGGCCATGCGGTACAGGGCCTTGATAGGCCAGGAAGGGGATCCGGACCTGAAGCTGCCCGACTTCTCCTACTGCATCCTGGAACGGCTAGGCCGGTCCAGGTGGCAAGGGGAGCTCCAGCGAGACCTTCATACCACTGCTTTCAAGTAAGTGGGAGGATTTGCTTCTGTGCTTTAAATTATACATCATTGCAACCTGAACCCCAAACGCAGGGGCCTGCTGCGGTATCTTCCCCGAGGCATGGCTTTTTGTTTCAAGGCCATGGTCGCACAGTGACTGTTCTCTTAGGTTGGCTGGACAGGAGGTTTGTGTCTCTGGTGTTTTATGTCCAAATGAGAGATTCTATACGTTGATAAAGCTACCAGCAAAGCAAATGACATGGCTCTTCTTCTCCTCCAGGGTTGATGCTGGGAAGCTGCACTATCACAGAAAAATTTTGAACAAAAACGGGCTGATTACAATGCAGTCCCATGTGATTCGATTACCCACTGGAGCCCAGCAACACTCAATCCTCCTCCTACTGAACCGGTTTCATGTGGACAGGTATGGTTTGTAGTGATCAAAATGTTAGGTTTTTTAGTTGCAGCCATGTGTAGTATGCTTTAAAAATCGTAGGGGCAGCTGGGTATGGTGGCTCATACCTGTAATCATAGCACTTTGGGAGACTGCAGTGGGAGAACCGCTTGAGGCCAAGAGTTCCAGACCAGCCTGGGCAATATACCAAGACCACAACTTTATAAAAATAAAAAATTAGCTGGGTGTGGTGGTGCACACCTGTAGTCCCAACTACTCAGGAGGCTGAGGTTGGAGGATCGCTTGTGCCCAGGAATTTGAGCCTGCAGTGAGCCATGATTGCACTGCTATACTCCAGCCTGGGTGACAGGGCGAAACCCTGTGTCTTAAAAAATAATAATAATAATAGAAGCCAAATTAGAATATCACTATAGCTTTTTAAAAAATGATATTTGTTGTGTGTGTGTGTGTGTGTGTGTGTGTGTGTGTGTGTGTGTGAAAATAAGTCCTGGTTGTTTAGAGAACCAGAAAACTATACAGAAAAGAAGGAAAAATAAATCTGTAACTTCACAGCCAACAATAGGAACCATTAACATTTTGGTGACATTTTGGGGAGATGTAAAAATAAAAGTGAGTCAGATTTGATTTGTTGTGGTGGCAGGTTTGTAGTTGAATTATGTCAGTTTCAAATAGGATGTTTTGCAGCACTCAACCATAATAACCTATATGGACGAGATGGCAAGGTTCTGCTAAGCAATAACAATGTGTGATATTGCTATTTTAGCGGGATATTGTCCAGATGATACAGCAAACTAGTTAAATGTGCACATTCCCTTCTGAGGACCAGGGAGGCTGGGGGAGTGAGTAGGTTATCTCTGACTTCTTCATCCTTGCCATTGGGGTGGCTAATTACCTGGCATAGGAATGAGGGACAGAAAAGTTTCAGCACTCTGCAGAGGTCTCAGCCCACACTGCACAAACTCATGCCCTTTTTTATGGGAGGGGCAGAAGCCAGGATAAGAAAAGTTCAAGCTGGTGCAGGGCCTGGGAAGAGCAGCCCTTGGCTGAGGAAGCCCTGAGCCCCTTAGTACCTGGCCAGCAGCTCTCTGGGATGGAGGTAGGCAGCAATGAGGGATAGTGGGGAGGGGAGGTGCATCCTCCAAAAGCGGGGGGAATGATTACATGTAAATGTTAAAGTTTACAGTGCACATGGGTTGGCCTAAAGAAAGTGCTTGATGCATGTGTGTAGACTCTTTATTGACCTGGGATCTCCAGGGGTGAAAATCATCATTGCTGCATCTCTGTCAAATGTCTGCCTCCCGGTTTCAAGCCATTCTCCTGCCTCAGCCTCCCGAGTAGCTGGGACTGCAGGCACCTGCCACCATACCCGGCTAATTTTTGTATTTTTAGTAGAGACGGGGTTTTGCCATGTTGGCCAGGCTGGTCTCGAACTCCTGACCTCAAGTGATCTACCCACCTTGGCCTCCCAAAGTGCTGGGATTGCAGGCGTGAGCCACCGTGCCCAGCTACATGTAACTCTTGACTCCCCAAAAACTTAACTACTGATAGTTTACTGTTGATCAGAAACCTTACCAATAATATAAAGTTAATTAACACATGTTTTGTTTCATGTGTTATACTGTTCTTGTATTATTGCAATAAAGTAAACTAGAGAAAAAATGTTATTTAGAAACTACATTTACAATACTGTACCGTATTTATTGATACCATAAGTTTACATTGTCCATTAACAAGACAAATTGTCTGAAATGGCGGGCAGCCGCAGCTGCAGACCTCACTCTACAGTACAGGTCAAGCAATTTAACTTTTCCTTGAAGTGTCATGACTTTTGGGGAGCTTCTTGGGAGCATTTCCAGCATCACTAGTGGCCCTTTGTATGGGTCCCATGGTGTCAGTCAAGGTTTATGGTATTGCACTAAACACAAGGAAAAATACGTGAGAACTGCAAGAGATCACCTTTTTTTTTTTTTGAGACGGAGTTTTGCTCTTGTTGCCCATGCTGGAGTGCAATGGCGTGATCTCTGCTCACCACAACCTCTGCCTCCAGGGATCAAGCGATGCGCCACCACGCCCGGCTAATTTTGTGTTTTGAGTAGAGACAGGGTTTCTCCATGTTGGTCAGGCTGCTCTCGAACTCCTGACCTCAGAAGAGATCACTTTTTACTGTTTACTAGAGAGGAACTGCTCACACAGAGATGATGAGCATCACATTTTTTTAAGAGAGTCTTGCTCGGTTGCCTAGGCTGGAGTGCAGTGGCACGATCTCGGCTCATTGCAGCCTGCACCTCCTGGGTTCAAGCAATTCTACTGCCTCAGCCTCCCAAGTAGCTGGTACTACAAGCTTGTGCCACCACGCCTGGCTAATTTTAGTAGAGACGGGGTTTCACAATGTTGGTCAGGCTGGTCTCGAACTCCTGACCTCAGATGATCTGCCCACCTCAGCCTCCCAAAGTGCTGGGATTACAGGCATGAGCCACCGCATCCGGCCTGTCATGGCATTTTTAAGCCAATACTCACAACACTTAAGCTTGCCACAATAGTAACAGGAGGTGGCTACGAAGTTATTAACAGTAGTACACTGTTGTATTACAGTTAATTTTATGCAGGTTTGATTTCATCCCGCTTCTTCATGTTTGTTTACATTTCCTCCACTGCAAATGGCACCATGTATGGTCTGTAAATGGTTGCGTAAGTTTTGATTAGCTTTTTATAATAGATATGTGTATATTTTATGGTAATGAATGATAAAATAGACTAGTATCCACATATATTATACATTAATGACATACCTTTTTCTTAATTTTTTCAATATTTCTAATGTTATACAGTTTGTCTGAGTTTTCTCAAACTGTCACAAATCTCCAAAAATTCTAATATATATATATTTTCTAATATTTTTTCAATAAATATGAAAAAAAAAACTGCGTATAAGCGGACCCGACCAGTTCAAACCCATGTTATCCAAGAGCCAACTGTACAGTATTAGAGAGAAGCATCTTTTATGAATTCACATTTTATTTGGGTTATACTATCTATTGATTAAGTAACTGTCTCACCAAACCCTTCACTTGTGTATAACCTGTGCTCTGCCAAGAACACAGGGTGGCAGCTGTGGCGTAGGAGAGAGAACACTGGATCAAGTCAAGATCTGTATTTCCATCTTTGCCCCTCACCTGGGCAGTCACTTGATCTCTTTGAACCACCATTGCCTCTTGTATTAAATGGCTGTGACACAGTGCCTCCTATGCAGAGTGGCTCATATGCATTAACCATCTGTTCCTCCATTTATTCTTTCATTCATTGAGAGGCAGTACAGATGGGGAAGTGGGTACAGTCACTGGATCCCATACGTGTGCTCTCTCTCCCCCTAGGACTGTAAGTCAAGTCAAGCTATTGTCCAGCCAAACTGGCTACAAGATTTCTCCCTGCACCCCTCCCTGAACTCCCCCTAGACTTACACAGTCAAGGGCCCTCAGTGTTTTTAAATAGCTTCCTTTGCTGGCCGTTAGCTTGGAAGCATTGATCATGACATCCGCTTCACAGTAGAAGTGAGATGGAAGGTGGCCTCTGCCACGCCAGTGTAGTCAGGAGCAGGAACCGGAGCCTCAGAATCAGAGTGGTGTCCCAGTGAGTAAGGAGAGGACTGGATTTAGAGAAAGAAGACCTAGGTTTGTGTCTCCAGCCTGAACTTCAATAAAGTCTGTTAACTTTGTAGAATAACCCCCATCCTTCCTCACCAAGTGATCTGTTTTTTGTTTTTCTTTGAGACGGAGTCTCGCTCTGTCACCCAGGCTGGAATGCAGTGGTGCGATCTTGGCTCACTGCAACCCCACCTCCCGGATTCAGGCGATTCTCCTGCCTCAGCCTCCCAGGTAGCTGGGATTACAGGTGCCTGCCACCATGTCTGACTAATTTTTGTATTTTTAGTAGAGACGGGATTTCACCATGTTGGCCAGGCTGGTCTCGAACTCCTGACCTCCAGAGATCTGCCTATCTCAGCCTCCCAAAGTGCTGGGATTTTGCCCGGCCCCTCACCAAGTGATTTGTAAGAAGATATGTGTGATACTTCCTAAACTTAAAAGTATTGTAAAAATGAAAGATGTTTTACAGAGTCATGTCATGCAAGTTTTAGTCCTAGAGTCTAGTCTATACGTTTCCTCTAGAAAGGTGGCCTTAGATATGACAGAACCTCTCACAGCCACAGTCTCTCCGCCTGTGGAAGGTAGGAGTTGGGCTGGATGATCTTTGAGACCTAAAAGATTCTGTCATGTATTGTCAAATGATTAAGTCAAGTCTTGCTTTGTCATCTTTAAGAAACAGGCAGTAAATATTGACTTCAGCAACAGGTTTGAAAAAACGAATCGCTCGGTGTTTCTTGCAGGAGGAGCAAATACGACATCCTCATGGAGAAGCTTTCAGGCATGCTGAGCACACGACCTAACTGTATAGAGACGCTGGGAAAGCTGAGGGAAGAACTGGTGAGCCTGGGGTTTCCCACGGGCAGGGCTGGGTGTGATCTGTACCATAGCCGGGAGGTCTTGTCAGGCATAGATGAATGATTTGCAACCCAACGCCCTATTCTGGATTTGATGCAAATAAGATTTTCCTTTGTTTGTTGTTTTTTTCTTTTCTTTTTTGAGGCAGAGTCTCTCGCTCTGTTGCCCTGGTTGGAGTATGGACTGTGTCCTTCCCGGGTTCAAGCGATTCTCCTGCCTCAGCCTCCTGAGTAGCTGGGATTACAGGTGCCAGCCACCATGCCCTGCTGATTTTTGTATCTTTATTAGAGACAGGGTTTCACCATGTTGGCCAAGCTGGTCTTGAACCCCTGACCTCAAGTGATGCTTATGTCTCAGCTTCCCAAAGTACTGGGATTACAGGAGTGAGCCACCGCGCCCAGCTGTTTTTTAGAATGAGAGAGTGCTTTGTCCTTCATTTAAATTCTTGCCTTTGCCTGACTTCCATTTTTCCCCTGGAGTTTTCTAGGACCTATTATCAAAGTTCAGACGGAATAGGAAAACGTGGCATTTAGGTTTACTTCTGTAATCAAGCTTGTGATCTTGTTCCCAGTGGTTTTGTACTGAAATAGCAGAGTGGCTGTCCTGAGGGGGAGGGGAGAGGATGCAGGGAGGAAGGCAGCTGTTGACCTGCTTTGTCTTTGGGCCCCGGAGCAGAGGCTGTGGTGAAGGGAGCGTGAGAGGGAGAAAGGCGGAGGGGTGCTGCTTCCAATCTGACTGGAAGGTTTCAGTGCAAGTCAGGAAAGAGCCAACGTTAGAGATGGAAGGAAAACAAGATTGCCCTGTGTGTGAAACCAGAACTTAAAACTGAACATTTGAAGTCAAGCTCTTTGGTGACTAGTAATTAGTCCCCTAATGAGTGGTCTTCAGTCTGACCACAGGCACCAGGACAGTCCTTGTTCTTTTCCCGCATTGCATCGGTGGAGTTGTAGTCTCTGATTTCATTGTTCACAGGGAAAGGAGGTATCTTCCGCATTGCTAGATTCGCTGTCTGCCTAAGCCTCTTTAAAGCAGTGGTTACAGTCTGGAGGCTTGTGGGCCAGACTTGGTCTGTTAAAAATCAATTTGACCTAGCATTTTTTAAGAAATTGAGACTTTCCATAAAAATCTAGGTTTCCAGTCTGTCTCGAGAACTGAGAAGCCTGGGTCTGCCCTCTCTCCTGACAGCAGTTAGCTGAAACTAGTTGTGCACTGGCTGGGTCCCCTGCAGTCCACCTGCTTTCTGTCACCTCTCAGACACGAGGCAGGGCAGCAGGGCTCTTTGTCATTCCCTGAGCACTGCTGTTTGTGATAGGGGAGAAGTGTTTTGCTTCTGTGTGTCTGAGTTTATCAGAGTAGAAAATCAAAGATAGACGGAGAAGACCTCTCAGGAAACCCTGGCAGAAACTAAGGAACTTCCTACCGGCTTAATAAACAAATAACTGGCCACTGTGTAGATTGATGTTGCTTGTCCAGCCCATGCAGACTCTGGAGATTGAAACCCTCCCTCCTACTAAGTCACTCAGGGGCAGGGAGACAGGGCTAGTCTGGTTTCAGGTCAGCCCTGTGGTCTGTGTTAGCAGCAAGCCTTGACTGTTACTGGACAGCCTTTCACTTATTCATTCAACAAATACTTTAGGGAGTGTGTATGCTGAGTTAGAACTGTGTTCCACAATAAGATGGTGAAAGTTAGCCAGGATGACAACAGGTCTCACACTGTCATGGAGCTGTCTAACCAGAAGGGTAGGCGTGTGAACACATACCTGGAAGGATGTAGCCGAGCCAGTAGCGGGAGAGGGGTGCTTTCTTTAGAGAACTGGGGAAGGCCTCATAGAGCTGTGCCAAAAGCAGAGTTGAACTGGGCTTTTCCCCCACACAGAGGGAAAGTGGCATTTGACGGAAAGGAGAAGAGCTGGTGCAAAGGCTTGAGTTGTGGAAGGCCATGCAACATGCTTAGAAGTGGGCAGTAATCCAGAGGGCAGCCGGCACATTGTGTGACTGGATAGGAAGGTAGGGGCCGGATCAGAAAGGATTGGAGTGCTGGCTGAGGAGTGGGGGCTTTAGCCTTGAAACTTTAGCCTTATGCACTGCTGCTGGCCGTGTAGAAATGAAGAAGTTCTTAGCCAGGGGTGGTGGTATGCACCAGTCCAGCTACTTGGGAAACTGAGACAAGAGACTCTCTTGAGCCTGGGAGGTGGAGGTTGCAGTCTAGGCAGATGAGCTGGTAGAGGGAAGGGGATGGGAAGAAGGTGGCGAGGTTGTGGCCATGAGGGCTGGAATTGTTTGAGAAACATTTTGGAACTGGAACTAACAGGACGTGGTGAGTGCCTGCACTGGGATGTAGAGGTGACTTGAAGAAAGAGGATCTCAAGATGAAGCCAGTGCATTTGCTGGAGTGGCTGCTGCTCACTGAGGCAGCGCAAAGGCAGGCTTGTGAGGCAGGGATCACATCTGCTTGCTCACTGCGAGCCCCCACGATGAAGACAGTGCCTGGCCCCCTGTAGATGCTCAGTAAATATTTGCTGAATGAGAGTTGAATAAATAGAGAGGTCAGAAAGAGGAGCAGATTTGGGTGAAGAGGAGGCACAGGACAAATCTGAGTTTTGGACGTATTGGGTATGAAGATCTTCTATGACTTTCCCCTGGTGATGTCTAGTCAACAGCTGGAAATTGGGGTCACAGAGAGCTGAGCAGGATTCAGTGAAAATTAGCCTATAGATGAAGCTGAGGCCATGAATATGGATGCTGCCTTTGGGGGAGATTTGGTACGAAGACTCACTGCCTCTTTCTCTTTTTGCTGGCCAGATTGTGTGAGTCGTTGATGGCAGCCCCTCAGAAGAAAAGACTACATCATCCTTCCCCTCTTAGGATGGTCCAGGGCTTAGTGCCATATGTCAAGGGCTGGGATCTGATGGATGAGTTTCCATAGGGTCTTTTTATGGTGCTGGGGGCACGGCTAGATTAACGATAGATGCCATGTACAAGCCAGTGGCTTTGAATGAGCCATATGTGAGTCATCTGTATTGTTTTGATAGCCATATGTTCTGCCACCCAAGGGCTGGAGTGCTAGTTAGCCTGGGAGTAACCACACATATGTGGTGGCAGCAGCCCACAGACATTTGCTCCCTGTCTCTCCCCAGAGTGTAAGAGGAAACCTGTAAGACTCAGCAAACAGCTCTCAGTCACGAATGCCTCCTGCTGTTCGCTCCTTCACTGGGAGCCGTGGTGACCTGCCTTACTCCTCCAGGGACTGCAAAATCACATGGCAGCAGTGCCCAGGAGGGTGATACCCACAAGCAAAATGGACCATGTGTAAAATAAATTTTTGATATAATATAGGTTTAAGAAATTAACTTTCCTCTAACTACCATTAGGGAAAATCAGCACAAAAATGATGATAAATGGCAACTGACCTTCAGTTCCATTGTTGGAGGCTCTGATGGGGGAGTGCAAAGGCTGTGACCCCCTGGAGACGCGTGGGCCCCGCTGAAGAGCAGCTGATCGAGGCTCCTGTTCACTGTTGCTGTGAAGCTACAGTCCTAGCATTGGCTGCCAGATCTTAGCCTTTCAAGAGAAGCCAGAATCTAGGTCTTTTTTTATGTGAAATCACTCACTTTTCAATTTTGGCAAGTAAATTACTTTCTTGAAGAAAAACATTGTATCAATTTTAAAAGCAAGACCTGCACTGGAGGCTGCTGTTGGTCACCCCTGCAGGGGAGATGTTCCTAGGATCATTTTGGTTTTCAGCCTTGCAAAAATAGGAGTGATGAGATGGAAATACCCATTATTATTCTGTTGTAACTTCACAGACCACATGTAAATTTTTACAATTTTTTTTCTTTTTCTTTTTTTTTGTTTTTTTAAACAGAGTCTCACTCTGTCACCCAGGCTGGAGTGCAGTGGTACGATCTCGGCCCACTGCAACCTCCACCTCCCAAGTTCAAGCAGTTCTCACCCTCAACCTCCTGAGTAGCTGGGATTACAGGCACATGCCACCGCACCCAGCTAATGTTTCTATTTTTAGTAGACAAAAAGAAAAAGAGTAGAGTGCTTAGTATAAGGAGGAAAGATGAACTTGTTTATTGGCTCACCATAAAAGTAGAATTTTGGAGACACCAACAGCGAGATGTTTGCTGAATCCTGTTTCAGCAACATTTTCTAGGACACTTTTTATAAGAGCGCGTCCTGAGCCATGGCACTGGGTATAGAGTTGAATAAATATGTGAAATCGGTTATGCCGCAAGCAGAATTGATTGGAGAGAGAGGCTGAAGCTTAGAAGAGAGAAGGTGGACTCAGCCAGCCAAGGAACAGAACTGAGACTCTGCGTTACCTTTCCTCGTCTACAAGGTCCGCATTCAGGGTGATCTCTTGCAAGCGAAGAGAACACCACCTTGCTAAGGCCAGCTTCACATATACTGGTACACGCAACGCTTAACGTCCATTTCACTACAGGCCCCCTGCCAAAACACATAATTTAAAGGCTACTATTAGACACACAGATGTCTTGAAATGACTAGAAACGTCATGTAAAGAAACACAAGTTCAGGACCTGAATTAATTGATTATCTAGGGGGGGGGGAGGGGTGAGGTACCTAACCAGGAAAAGCCTTGCCAGCTTACCTTGTCAAGGGAACCAAACAAGGGTCCAGAGCAAGGATATAAACGACTTCTACCTTTTGAATTAAGGGGGAAGAGATCACTTCGCCAGTCCTGGAAGGTATGCAGGCGGTGGGAATTGAGGCAGGCGGGAGTGGAGGCGTGGAGACGAAGACT